CCATTCTGCCTACCCCATTAAGTATTTTGTAAGTTTCAATTAGATTACCTCTGTTTCTTCTGAAGTCTAGAGATACAGGCCCAGTCTGCTCAGTCTTGCCATCCCAGGAATTAAACTGGTGAACCTCGGCTGGAATCTCTGTATAGAAGTATAGTCTACCTTAGGGAAACTATGCACCTCACAAGCAGTAGCATCTCCTCCATTAATTTAAAATCTCCCTCAATGTGAGTTAAGGCCATTTCTACAGTGAAAATAGATCTGTTTGTATCCGGCACTGAGTCCATGAAATCTTGGTCCAATGATAGCATTCATCCCAAAATGGAAGGGAAGTCAGAGAGGGAATAGCAGAAACTCTGACTATAATCATTTTTTTGCATCTGAGAGTGATGCTGTAGAGGAGGAGGATAACCAATACAGTTTCTGTTCGATAAGACTATAGATATAAACCACTTAATTTTTAATTAGTCATTCTAATAGATTTTCTTTTAATTTTTCATGGGATTTAAGCCTTGCTGGTAAGGATGGCATTTATTGCCTATTCCCATTACTCTTGACATGGTGGTGACGAGTCTTCTTGAATTATTACAGTCTGTGTGGTATAGGTATACCCACAGTGTTATCGAGAGGAAGTTTGAGGAATTTGGCCAGTTACAATAAAGATAAAGTCACTTCAGTCTTGCCAGACTACAGGACTGCTCTTTCATGAGAGAGTGACAGCTAGTGGTGGTTTAATCTGAGGGTCACCACACTTCCAAAAAGGAAAATGGTTGAGAAGGAGAGTACACAACCTTAGCTTGTGTAGGAATTGAACCCACATTGTTAGTGCATCAGTTTGCATCACAAACCAGCTTCCAGCCAACTGGAGATGATTGTTACCTGCCAACTGTACGGCATGAATCTTACTTGACACTTGTCATTCCAAGCCTGGATATTATCCAGATCTTTCTGCATTTGGACATGGATTGATTCAGTATCTGAGGGGTTGCGAATGGTGCTGAACTTTCTGCAACCATCAGTGAACATCCCCATTTCTGACCTTATGATGGAGGGAAGGTCATTGATGAAGCAGCTGAAGATGGTTGGGCCTGGGACACTACCCTGAGGAACTCCAGCAGAGGAGCTGAGATGACTGACCTCCAACAACTACGGCCATCTTCCTATGTGTCAGGTATGACTCCAGCCAGCAGAGAGTTTGACCCCGATTCCCATTGATTCTAGTTTTGCTAGGGCTTCTTGATGCCTTCAATCAAATGCAGCTTTGATATCAGATACAGTCATTTTCATCTCCTCACTATAATTTTGCTCTTTTGTTCATGTTTGGTGAATGACGTTGGGGCTGAGTGACCCTGGTGGAGCCAGAACTGAATGTCAGTGAGCTAGTCAATAGTACCTCATGTCACTTTACTGATGCTGAAGAACAGACTGAAAGGGTGGCAAATGGCAGGATTGATCAAACAGTTAAGATATTCAAGTGAAATGTTAAGTGTATTGATAAAGGAAAGTTTCATATAAGGCTTGTTAAAAGTTAGTAAGGCCAATATTTCAATGTCATATTAAGGGATTGCTATCTTTCAGATGAGATGTAGAGACTCTTGATGGAAATAAAGGATTGCATGTCACTATTGTAAAAAAAGGAGTAGAGGAGTTCTGTCTGGCAAACTGGTCCATATTTACTCATTAACGTTTTAATAACTAGCTAATAGATTTTTTAATCATTGTTTATAATATCTTGCTATACACTAATTGGCTGCTGCAATGCCAACATTACAAATTGGCAAGTGTTAAGGTATTAGGATGTTCTGAGCTTGTGAAAGACATTACATAAACTCAAGTTCTTTCCTTTACCTAAGTCTGTTAAAGCAAGGCATGCCATAATAAAGGGAATTCCACAGCCTGGGTAGGACGTTTGTTAAAGTTTGGAGAACAGGAATTGTGGTTAATTAGTATTTTTCAGACTTGAGGAATTTAAGCAATGATGTCCTGTGAAACATTGGGTACGCTCTATTTCAAAAATGATTTTATTTTTAGTTGGAGGCTTAATATCCAAGTGTACAAATGGCATACAGTTATAAAAATCTAGAGAAGTATGGATGCTGGAAATTAACTTATGAAGAAGGATCACTGGACCTGAAACGTTAACTCTGCTTTCTCTCTGTAGATACTGCCAGACCTGCTGAGTTTTTTCAGTATTTTCTGTTTGTGTTTGTGGCATCCTGCTACGCTTAATTCTGAAGTTTTAGTTGATTATTTGTGGGATGTTTGCTAATTGTCCTTGAGAAGGTGGTAGTGAGCTGAATGTTAATCATCCTCTAGAACAGCCAAACAAAACAATCCGCCAGCTCGCTGTTGATTTAAAGTTCATTGCTTGACCAAATCAGGTAAGAATAGCAGATTTTAATCCTTAACTGATAGTGTTAAACTAGAAGGAGTGATATGATAAATACGACTGCAAGTAAATTCATGACAGTGTAGACAAGTTGGTAGATTATACTGATATCAGATGAAATTGAATGAAGTGCAGAGAAATGTAAAATGATACCTGTGATCGAGTTATCTGTAGGTCTTTTGTAAAACAAGACCGTGAAGAATAGAATAATTATTTGAGGATTTTAGGGTTTTATTTTTGGTAACTGTGTTTTGGGAGTTCTGGTGTAAATGGGTAGTGTATAAATCATGACATGCTCTTTTTTGAGTCATGTGTTCAGTGAGCCAGTCACAGCAAAAGCGATGGAAGTGATCCACATTGCTTGGGCAGGAATTTTCCACAACTGGGATATGACATGGGAGATTAATCATCAACCTGGGTTGATGATTGTTATTGGAAATTTTTGGTTTTTTTTGTCTATCAGCACACAGATATTGCACGATGAATGTTGGTTGCTGTTTTCAAATAATAGCTGATGGATTGACTAAATCAATGCGCTGTTAATGGTAACAAATGTATATTTCAAAACAAATCAACAGTCTGTTTCAGCATTTTGCATTTTGGTAAGGTAAAAGAAAATCCACGCGGTCAAAATCTGAAATAAAAATATAAAACGTTAAAACATCACAGCTGCAACTAGGCAGAGTATGAATAGGTGAGCTGTCCATGGGTCCCAGCTAAAATATAGACCTGTCTTTAGCTTCAGATTGCATATAATCCTGTGCTGTGCCACCAATATCCACCATACAGGTCCCAATATAATACCAGCATAAACTCACCAAATTCACTGGACGACTGTGTGCGTGTATGTGTGTGTGTGTGTGTGTGTGGTGTGTGTGTTTATCATAAAATGTTTAATAATAGTTAGAATCTGTTTATGTGTTTGTTTTTAATTTTTAATTTATTTGTAATAAAGAGTAATTCTTGTTAAATACAGAAACTTAGTCCATGCTTTCTGTCAACCTGGATCCAAACATAATTTGGGCAAATCTGTGTACTTTTAAAAAAATCTTTAACCTTATGACAACTCTAGAAATAGCTGGACTAGACTTTTAACTCAGAGACGTGTAACATGTTTAATAAACTTCTGTTTTGTTCTTGAAGAAAATCTGCTGCCTCTTGTGAATATATTTAGTTGATTAACCATTACGTTAACCTAACTAAACACTGAATCTGTCAAGCCTGGTTTCATTCTGGGATCTGATTTATCCAGTGGTACCACCAGTTGGGATCATAACAATCTAAAGATCTGGCCTGTGTGTTTAGTTTTGGACTTTACAGAGGAGACTTCAATGGATTGTTTGAAATGAAGAGATGGGACACTATAGGTGGAAACAGACTGGTAACAGTGTTTGAAGGTTTCGAACAAGGAGACTGATGCAAATTAAACATAAAAGGTCTAATTCCATGAACAGGAAAAAAATTTTCGTCTGGGGGATGTGGAATGTACTTTCATTTGTCAGTTTGTTGAACATGCAAGGGGAAGTTAGATTGGCACGTGAAGCAACGAGAAGAAAATTGGGCAGACTCTGAAAAAGAGTCACACTAGACTGGAAACATTAATTCTGTTTCTCTCCACAGAAGCAGCCAGACCTGCTGAGTTTCTCCAGCATTCTCCGTGTTTGAACAGGCCCGTGCGATTGGAAATTACGCCTTGCATGGAGCATAAACATCGAAATGGACTTGATGAGCTGAGCAGCCTCTTTACCCTGCTGTCATGATATTTATTGGCTGCCTTCCTCTGATATATCTCCCAAATGGGCATTATCCTTACAGGAATGCAACCAGTGTAGTGCAAGTGGGTTAGTTGATTAAAAGGACCTCAGAGCTAATCCTGTCCTTATGTACACCTAATTTCAGGGAAAGAATTGAATAATCACAGCCAAATCACAGGGTTAGTAGGAACTGCCAATGCTGGAGAATCTGAGATAACAAGGTGTAGAGCTGGATGAACACAGCAGGCCAAGCAGCATCAGAGGAGCAGGAAAGCTGACGTTTCAGAAATCTTCTGAAGCAGCGTCCGGACCCGAAACATCAGCTTTCCTGCTCCTCTGGTGCTGCTTGGCCTGC